GCCGTAGGGCAGTACCCCACCCCACAGCCCCACCCGACAACCCAAAACCCCACCCCCACAGCCCTAGCCCATCACTTTGACACTATGTCCCTCCGTGAACCCACTTGGTATATGGACACCGGTGCATCCCATCACATTGCCTCTGACCCAGGTACTATTTCTCATGTTAATTCTCAATCTTTATATTCACCATTATATATCACTGTTGGTAATGGATCTAAAGTAAGCACTACGGCTGTTGGTAACCATACCCTTCCCACTACCCCCTCCTTATCCCTTAAAAATATCCTTATCTATCCTCACATCACTCACAACCTTATCTCTGTCCGTCAACTCACTCGCGATAATAATTGTACAGTTGAATTTGACTCTAATGGTTTTTCTGTGAAGGATCGTCGGACGGGCACCGTGATGCATCGATCCAATGATATGGGACCCCTCTACCCCTTAGGACACCCACCTGCCGCTCAAGCCAATGTTGCCGCTGTCGATCTCCAGACCTGGCACCGGCGCCTAGGCCATGCGAGTCATAATGTCCTTAGCAATATTTCTTCTCTTCCTTTTTTTAAAAGTTACCAACATTCTCTCTGTCATGCATGTCAATTGGGAAAGCATGTGCGCCTCCCATTTTCTTCTTCTAGTCGTGTTTCTATGTTTCCGTTTGAACTTTTACATACAGATTTATGGCAATCTCCTGTTCCGAGTATTACTGGTTTTAAGTTTTATATGTTATTGTTGGATGACTTCTCCCATTATCTTTGGGTTTTTCCTTTAAGACATAAAAGTGATGCTTTTAATCATTTAACCTCTTTTGTTGCATATGTCAAAAATCATTTTAATACAACAATAAAAGCAGTTCAATGTGACAATGGAACAGAATATCGTAATTCACCACTTAAAAATATTTTTGACTCCTTAGGTATCCTCTTTCGTTTCTCGTGTCCTCATACCAGTCAACAGAACGGCCAAGCTGAGCGCACAATTCGTACCATCAACAACTCGGTTCGTTCACTCCTCTTCCAAGCCCAACTTCCACCTACTTTCTGGGTTGAGGCCCTTCACATGACAGCTCATATTTTTAACAATCTTCCCACCACCACTTTACAAAATAAAACCCCCCACGCCTCCCTCTTCCATTCCCCCCCTCCTATGATCATCTTCGCGTCTTTGGTTGTTTGTGTTACCCCAATATCTCCGCCACCGCCCCCCACAAACTAGCCCCACGCTCCGCTCGTTGCATTTTTCTCGGCTATCCCTCTAACCAACGAGGTTTCCGTTGTTTCGATCTTACCACCCACAAAATCATTATCTCCCGCCACGTCGTGTTTGATGAATCCTGCTTCCCCTATGGTCACCCCGTCTCCACCAACGAACTTAGCTTTCTCGACGACGACCCACCCCCACCCTACCCCTATCACC